AGAGTAGATGAAATTCGAGATAGAGATTTCGAAATTTCACTCCGGAAGAGGTTGAAGAATGGGGAGAATACCTTGAGGGGAAAGATGAGGATTAGGAAAAGTTACTTGACCTGACGTTTAATTTGGAATTGGCTATGAAGCAAGCTCGTGAAAAATTCGAAAAAGTCAACAAAGTTATGGTGGTCAATGATGTCACGATTGGACAGCCAAGTGCGAAGGACATCCAATGCCCCTCATCAATTGCAGCAAATGCAAGCGATAATGGATCAGGCGATGCGAGAGGAGGAATGGCTCAACTTCAACGAGGTTACTTTCCGTTAAACATACCCGATTTTGATGGTAGCCACGAAAGTTGGCATAACTGTTGGAAAATTTTTGACAAATATGTTCACTTGACGCTTCAGGATGATTTAGTAAAGTTAAATGTCCTTACACAAACATGTAGAGGCAAAGCTGCTAGATTCATCAAGAACGCTAGCAAAAACGTCAACTTTCACCAGTTTTGCAAAGGCTCAACAGAATGAAGCTAGAAAGTGCATCTTCTGCGCAAGAAACAACCACAAATCAAAGGATTGCCGTGAAATGTCAAGGATGGATCTTCAACGTATTATGGAATGCGTGAGGACAGCAAGAGTGTGCGCCATATGCTTTGGAGGAGGGCACCTCGCAACTGCCGACACGCGAGGTGCCAGAAATGCCAAGGACAACACCACACAAACACGTGCAGGAAATCAGGTCCCAATTTTGGTAATAGAGTTAATACATTTAGGCAAAACACAGCTAGTAATTTAAGTCGTCTACAAGTTCAAGAAAATTTGAATAATGGATATGTTCAACTCGCCGCAACAGGATATTTTGCTCAAAATTCACAAATGGACTGCGGTTCGGAGTTTTTTCGTGCCATCAAAGAGGAGCCAGCAAGTCATCCAGCCAAAAATTCAACAGCAAACAGCATCAATAAGGCCTCGAAAAGTTGAACTCAAATTCCAAGTTTACTATGTTATAACAGTTCCCAAATTAATCGGAAAGTTCGACTCACAAGTATGTTACAAATTGTTGCCAAGAATGAGGATTATCAAATCAATGAGAGTGCAAACATTTTATTGGACACAGGTTCAACGGATAGTTTTATTACAAAAAGATTCGTACAAAAATTAAACTTACAAGTTTCCACAACCAAAGATTTAAAGATCAGAACAGCTATTGGAGCGGTAAGTTCAATTCACACGAAATGTTACAAAGTTTTATCGCAAAACAAGAAAGCTTTCGACAAAAACCTACCTGACGCCTCCATTCTCGACGTGATGGAGTTGCCCAGTCTTCCACCAGCAAACATTCAGAACAACCATCAGAAGAAAATTTCTGGGACCTTGAAAGAATTGGCATCAATGAATCGCCTGAAGCAAAAGCGGCTGAATAGGAACAGCAGGAAGTTGTGGAAAGATTCAAAAAGGAGGTGAAAATTATCAACGGAAAAGTTCACGTTAAATTTCCATGGATCGAGCAAAATCCACGAATCAATGACAACTTCAAATTGGTAATGCAATACCTGCACAGCTTGACTAAACTACTAAAGAGAAATCCTGAGCTACTGGCAAAGTACAGTGAAGAACTCAAGAAGCAAATGGAGCAAGGAATTTTGGAGGAAGCACCTAGAGAGATGAACGAACACAAATGTCGAATTGCCAAAACTTTTAACGAAACAACAACAGAAACAACAATAAAGTTGAAAGGTTGGTAAGTTAACAAGTTTAAATATTCTTTTGTGTTTTGTGACATTTGTGTTCGTCCATCTCTCTGTCATTAAGTCATTAAAACAAAGGGAACCGTTCCAGAAAAAAAACTCAAAAACACTTAACTTGTGTTGTAGCAGTTGATCTTGATGAATTTGCGATTAAATGGCAAAGCAAAACGGTGAAAAATGAATTGAAAAACAACGGAAAATGGCTTTAAGCAATGGAAATTGCGGATTACGGTAGCTAGTGCATTTAAGAATGCGTCCCCAAAATTTTTCTCTGTAAACGCTCTTGCGTTCGTGTATCAATCAACGCTGAAAGTGGGCACTAACACCGTTGATTAAGGTATAAAGAAAGAAAAAAGAAAGACTAAGGTAGAGAAGAGAAAGTTGACAAGTCTACATTAAGTTAAGTCTTGTCTAAGTGTTTTAAATGATCTAGTATAAGTGTTTATGAGAAATATAATGCTACGGGATAAACTTAGGTTTTAGTGTTCAAATTGAATTGCAGTCTGTTTTCTGGGAAATTTAAGAGAATCTTTGAAGAAAAGTTTATACTTTTTAATAAATGTAATATCTATTAGTGAAATAATTGTATTAAAGGGATATTTGTTTTCATTAAGTAGTGTTATAAGGTTTTTCGTGTGTGAACTAAATCTACAAGGCTGCTGCAATAACGGACAACCCTCGGGGACACTGGATTATTAAAAAAAATTGTGGGGGACCGATACTTCAATGTCGCGTGGAGGGCAATGCTGCAGTTTTCCCAGGGGGGGAAGTAATTCAGGATTTCTGGGGAATGTATTATCGCCCCCCCCCGCTGTTTACATTCTACCGTAAAACTCTTGATGGCGCGTTCGATCTGCATCGTGCGATCCTCCAGCGGTGAGGGGAGGGCGGGGGCTTCTTCAGTAGGGGGTGATAATGTAATTTTCCCCAATCCTGATAAAATCACCTTCAACACCCCTATGCTTGATAGATTATGGCATGCAACTAACGTATTTTTTTGGCATTATAATAGTTTTAAAATCGTAAGCGTCGATTTTATTGCATAGCTCAGTGAAGAGTTTCTCAGATTTTTTCTATCAACGAGAATGTGCACAAAAGTGTATTTCGTGGATGAAGTGCTAAAAAGCGCAATGAAAAAGAGCTTTTTGAAAAGTGCAACCACCAAATATGTTTTTGTGTACATTCTACCGTAAATCTCTTGATGGCGCATTCTAAAACGTGCTCCTTTCGTATATTTAACTAAACTTTTTGCCACAAATTTCATTCTTTTCAATTCGTTCAGCAGGTGTATATACCTTAAATACGGTGAAAGTACCCCACCAGCCTCTAGTGCGTGCCACACGGGTGCTACTATTACAGTATTCACAGGAGCTACTAATAGTATTTTCTTCGGGGTTTTCCTTTTATTAATTACTATTAATCTCTGCTATAATTTTTCATTTAGGGGAGATGTCGAAAAGGTCGAAAAGGTCGAAAAGGAACCAACCATTAATCCGAAAGGACTTCTTGGCACAATTGCCAAAGGAGGTTTGTTGAAACCTGTGGGAGTAATTGTTTAGTTTTAGATTGCTTATCGCATCATCGCCCATTTGACACCGCACGATTTGATGAGTTGTGCTGGCGTTTCGCGGACGTGGCAACGGATTTGTGAAGATGATCAGACATGGCGACAGAAATGTTTCGAGAACGGATATGTGGAATTTGATGCGCCAAGGTTTGTTACAGTTTTGAGCCGATAATATAACACTTAAAAATACATATCTGATAGATTTATATTAGGCTAGATTTTAAGACTTGTAAAATATAGGACAATAATGTTATTAATTCCAAAGAAAACCAAGATTTAAAGCGAGGGAAAACATATGATAATGTTTGTTTAGATGAACTGGTTCATATTTAGGAAATTGTAAAAAGACTCGTCTCAAACTTTCTTTTAGTTTTCGTTTTCTCGGGGGTTGGGCGGTGAAACGAGCAAATGAGCAAGCCGGAATCTGTTCACATATGGACCTTCAAGAAGCACATCAGAATCGACAAGCACGCGAGATCGCATATGGACAGTTAGTGACCGAACTTGTTGCGGAATGAATTTTTTTTCTAGATGTTATGAGCGTTCGCCATGGAAGTCGCTGTACTTGCGAAAGAAGCGAATCATTTCGAATTGGCGATCCCGAGCGATTCAATCAAGCACTGTTCTAGATGTTTGAATAAATGATTTAACCGAAAAGATGCTTTTTAGGATGACCTTCTGTATCAAGTCTTGTATCAGAAAAATCAGTCTGCTCGTATCATTACTAGTTTTCATGATTATAAGTTGCGGGTCTGGAATGCTGGAGATGCTCAAGTTTGTTTTGTTTAATTGTTATTGTACATCCGAATTTAGCCGGCTTTCACTCTAAGTGGTCAGCGCGGTTCCGGTTATTCGTATCAAGGGAGCGAAGATGGCAAATACATTGTCTCGTTAGTTAATAGCCTATAGTTAGTGCAATTCATAAGTTTTGCCAAGGAAGCTAAAAAGATTCAAACAAAGATTCTTATGACAACAAAGTCTATTGTAAGATTTCAGTAGCGAGTCTGATGGAACAGTGCGCGTTTTGTGTGGTAAAACTGGTGCAGAGCTTCATTTTTTGACGGATTTGATTCTATGCATGAGTCTACATGGCACAACGTGAGTGATCTGAATTTTGTGTTATAGCTAAGATCATAATGTTTTAGTCTTGTTTCTGGATCATCGGATCTAACACTTCGAGTCTGGGACATTGTCGACGGGAAATGCCTTCACATTTTGGCTATCGAGGCGGAGGTATGTGTATTAAAGTTATCGCTTAAACAAAGTTAACTTTCAGGCGTATTTTGTGAAATTTGATGGAAAACGGGTTGTATTTATCGGCCATGGATTTACCGTAAACGTTTGTACAGTTACTAGTCCAATTTATAATATTCTATTAGGTTTGGATTATACACACGGAAGAGTGTTTGCACACGCTGACGGGCCACACGGGGCCAGTCGATTCACTTTTGGTGAGTTGAGTTGTCGAATTTTGGCTTTAATCAGGATTCTATTTTAGTTTGAGCCAGAGCGCGGTCTTGTCGTGTCGGGTAGTAGTGATGACGGAACGATTCGCGTCTGGGATGTGCAAAGAGGAAGTGAGTTTTACTTGTTCACTATTCTGTTACATGTCATCTATATTTGTTTCTTTCAGCATGCATCGCACTTATTGGCTGTCGTCACAATTTAAGGTACACAGGTAACTTTGGGATGCAGCTTCGCGGAAACAATTTGGTCTGCCATTACGGTTCGGACGTTTGGGTATGTTTAATCAATCCTATGCAAACTACTTCCATTTCTTTAGGTTTGGGACATTCGTGAGGGTGGCTCATGCCTTCACCACTTGCATGGCGGAAATGGTCAGACGTCGACCATCACTTCATTGCAATTGCTCGACTCCGGACTTTTGGTGACAGGTTCGAGGAATGGCTCGGTGAAGCTGTGGGATGTGAAGAAAGGTATGCGGTTTTAAATTACCTAATGCTATCTGCAATAAGATCCAGACTGCAAGCCGGGATTTAAAGTAGAACTTATTAACTACACAACTTGGCTTGTCAACTATTGAAGCTTCAATCTATGACAAAGTCTAGTGTCTTATTAATTTTTTTTTCATTTTAAGGTACCTTCGTTCGTGATCTCGTTCGATCTCGTTGGGGTGACCCTGGCCGTTATTATTGTAATCTCAAAGCCTCTGAAACATTACTCGTATGTGGAGTTCGATCGGTAGAGGAGGCAAAGCTCATCTTGATCGATCTTGACGCATCATATCCATAGGTATATTTGTATTTTTGCTATTTCCCTATTGTGGTTTTCTGAAGAATTCTGTCGGTTTTTCCATTCTTCTGAACTTTCATTGCTTGTGGTTTGATTAGATTAGATTTAGATTTTGATCTTCCAATGATTACCGATAATTTACACACTTCTATGCCATACTCTTGATTTTGTGAACCTTTTTTCCATTAACCTGCTGTTAGTCATTGACCTTCTCGAATGTTTCAGAATCGTCAAGTGCAAACCGTCTTTCAAAGTTACTATTCTTTCGAATTAGTTGGTTGGTTGCTGTCAACGTTTGATTATTTTTAGTCCGTATCGAGTCCTGTGATTCTTTATTTGCTCGATTTTTCAAGATTGAAGAATCTATACCTCACCGATTTAAATCTAAATAAACTGCACAAGCAACTGATATTGGCAAAAAAGCAAAGCAAAAAACCCAGGTCAACTGCCAGACTCCTTCAATGAATTCGATTCCGCAGATGAAAATTTTCACTCCGACAAAAGCTCTGGCTTTAGGCCTACAGTTTTCTAATGTACGGTGTGCTTTTTGACTTTTGATTGTTCACAGGTTTCAATTAACAGAATCCTGCTTACCATTTTGCTACACGAAACTCTAACAAGGAAAGTGCACCCGTTTAAGGTGAACTTTAGGATCGAGATCCAAACCATTCTTTTTGCGCTATATAAACCAAACCATATGCGATCTCGCGTGCTTGCCGATTCTGCTGTGCTTCTTGAAGGTCCATATGTGAACTGATTGTGATTCCCGCTAGCTCATTTGCTCGGTTCGCCGCCCAACCTCCGAGAAAACGAAAACTGAAAAAAGTTTGAGACTAGTCTTTTTACAAAGTCCCCGAACAAAATACTAGTATTACTAGCTACCGTAAATACGGTAATAGCACTCCACGCGTGTGGCACGCACTAGAGGAGGATCAGGTACTATTAAAGTATTTACGGTATATAGAGCTGCTAAACGAATTGAAAAGAATGAAATTTATGGCAAAAAGTCTCCTTAATTATACGAAAGGGCCAGGTTTTAGAATGCGTCATCAAGAGGTTTACGGTAGAATGTGCACTAACCCATTTTTGGGTGGTTCCACTTTTCAAAAATTTCATTACCCTTTTTGGCGCTTCACCCACGAAATACCCTTTTATGCACATACTCGTAGGTAAGGTGAAGTTTATACTAATACTCAAAAACCTTTGCGACTACGCGACTGTACGAGGTTGGATAACTGACTTGTCAGGGCTTGTCAAAACTTGTCAACTTTCTCTTCTCTACCGTAGTCTTTCTTTTTTTTCTTTCTTTATACCGTAATCAAGTGTGTAAGTGCCCACTTTCGGCGTTGATTGTTGCACGAACGCAAGAGCGTTTACAGAGAAAAATTTTGGGGCGCATCCCGTCGAATCTCGGGGGTGCCGAAGTGACGCTGTTCAACGCGAAGATCGAGGAGAAGAACGGTCAGATTGTGGCATTCGTATCACCGTTGATCGTGAAGTCGTAAGATTTATGGAGAATTGCTGAGCACTCTGTGAATATTTTTCTTTGAATTTATCAAAGAAAATCTTTCGTTGATGAAAGAAAATGTGTTGCTCTCAGTGTTTCACGAGAATTGGCAGAGTTTTGTGGATTGTGTGAAACTCTTCGTGAGGATCAATCTTTTCAATGAAAAACTTCGCATTGCTTTCTGTGGGAATCCAGCGAGGAGGGAGGATCTGAGATACGAGCAACCCACTGCTATCTTCCTTCAAGCTCGTTGCGCGCTTGTTGAGAAGAAAGTATTTGGAGAGTAGCACGAAATGCTTGTCTTTCATCGGCCTCCACACGCTTTTCGCTTCCAAATTAAAATGTTCCATGATTTGTGTCCCTGCAAAATGTTTGCCTCTTTGAGATAAACATGTGATTTGTACTTATTTCTTGGGTAAGATTTTAAACTATTCGCTAATTAGATAAATTTAATTAAAGATAAACTTATTGGTTACTCTATCGGTGTAACATTATAATTTCCTTAAAAAGTGTGAACTTGCACTACAGTACGATGTTACAGATAGCCCGAAAGCCAGACAGCTTCAAAAAGGTATGCTGTTCTTGGTTGTTGTCCGACTTAAAGAAGATTTCTACACTTCTCTTCGCATAAACTATCTACCATTCAAGCCAACTATTTCCATTCACTTTTCTACACTTCTCTTCTTTTCAGTTAGACTTTTTTTTACCTGCGAATCGATCTTTATCCTTTGTTTTTGTTTTGTAATTAATTTAATCACTCTTTGGTAATCATCCATCTGTCGAATTTAAGGGGTTTAAACTGATTTATCTAACTTGTTTTTGATGTTTTGCGGTCTGCTGATGGAACCTGGTCTTGTTTTCTTGCAAAAGTGGATGGAAAAGCCTAAAATAGCTAGAAACAAGAAAAAGAATATAACATTTCTCTAGTGAACGTCTCTCGTGCTTCCTCTCCCAATCTCACTTCTCCGTGACTTTATTTACCGATCAAGATCTCCATTTTCAAGCAGGCAACGCATTCTTTCACAGGCTCCCGTCATTTGAATGATTGTCGAAGAGAAACGAAAGCTTAGGTTGTCGTAAAAATTCCTCTCATCAACGATAAAAATTACGTCATCGTATTGATTATTCGTATTGATTCCTGGCGATTATTAGAACATTCTCATCGTTTTGAAATTGCTTCGGGATGCGAATGATGGGCCTGGAAATTGTCGAAAATTATCAATTGGAGAATCAAGTATGATTTGGGAGCCGCGAGTGATCGTTGAAGTCTGTGATCTGTCGACGATCAACGATTTGAAAGATGTACGTGTAATTTGACGATCGATCTTTGTCTAGCTCCTAAGAATTACGATCTGTTGGACTTAATCTGTGATTTTCTCTTTCTCTTTCCCTTCCCCTTTTTCCCCTTTTTTCTTCAGACAATGATGCCCCTTTGTGATGACACGAGAATCGGTGATAAGCAAGAGAAATGCACTCATAAATTCTCACTTCTAATCACTCATAAATTCTATCGACTTGTTTACGCATCTCGAAAAAAAACTTGAATCTTGAATCTTTTGAATCTTGAAAAATCGAGCAAATAAAGAATCACAGGACTCAATACGGACTAAAAATAATCAAATGTTGACAGCAACCAACCAACTAATTCGAAGGAATAGTAACTTTGAAAGACGGTTTGCACTTGACGATTCTGAAACATTCAAGAAGGTCAATGACTAACAGCAGGTTAATGGAAAGAAAGGTTCAAAAAATCAAGACTATGGCATACAACTATATAAAATGTAGGTAATCATTGAAAGGAACAAGCAATGAGAGTTCAGAAGAATGGAAAAACCGACAGAATTCTTCAGAAAATCACAATAAGGCCTAGACAAGAGCAAAGATAGAAATATACCTATGGATATGCTGTCGAGTCGAGCAATTGCAATGAAGTGATGGTCGACGTCTGACCATTTCCGCCATGCAAGTGGTGAAGGCATGAGCCACCCTCACGAATGTCCCAAACCTAAATAAATGGAAGTAGTTTGGATAGGATTGATTAAACATACCCAAATGTCCGAGCCGTAATGGCAGACCAAATTGTTTCCGTGAAGCTGCATCTCAAAGTGAATTGGGAACCCTAACTCTTGAAGACAAACAAGATGTGCGATGCATGCTGAAAGAAACAAATATAGATGACATTGTAACAGAATAGTGAAAAAGTAAAACCCACTTCCTTTTTGCACATCCCAGACGCGAATCGTTCCTTCCCGACAACCCCACACGACAAGATCGCGCTCTGGCTCAAACTAAAACTGAATCCTGATTAAAGCCAAAAATTGACAACTCAACTCACCAAAAGTGAAACAACTAGACTCGTGTGACCGGTCAGCGTGTGCAAACACTCCTCCGTGTGTACATTCCAAACCTAATAGAATATTATAAATAGCACTAATAACTGTACAAACCTTTACGGTAAAATCATCACTATTAGATACAACCCGTTCTCCATCAAATTTCACCAAATTCACCTGGAATTTAGCTTTGTTTCAGCCATAATTTTGATAAAAATACCCTCCGCAAGTGGCCGATCAAAATGTGAAGGCATTTCCCGTCGACAATGTCCCAAACTCGGAGTGTTTGATCGTGCGATCCAGAAACAAGACTAAAACATTAGGATCCTAGCCAAAACAGAAAATTCAGATCACTCACGTTGTGCCATGTAGACTCATCCATGGAATATGATCCGTATGACCCTGCAAAACATGAAGCTGTGCACCGGTTTGACCACACCAAACGCGCACCGTTTCATCAAACCCACTACTGAAATATTACAATAGACTTTGTTGTCATAAGAATTTTTGCTTGAATCTCTTTAGCTTCATTGGCAACACTTATGAATTACACTAGCTATAGTCTATTAACCAACCTGACAATGTATTTGCCATCTTCGCTCACTTGATACCACCAAGGGGGACTCTGATGACCATTTAGAGTAAAAGCCGGCTAAATTCGGACGTGGAATAATAATTAAACAAAATAAACTTGAGGATCATCAACATTCCAGACCCGCAACTTATAATCCTGAGTACCAGCAATGATACGACCAGAATGAATTTGTAGACGAATGGGGTATTTAAAGTCATCCTAAAAACCATTTTTTCGGTCAAACCATTTATTCAAACCTCTAGAACAGTGCTTGATTGAATCGCTCGAGATCGCCAATTCGAAATGATTCGCTTCTTTCGCAAGTACAGCGACTTCCATGGCAAACGTTCATAACATCTAGCAAAAACTTCATTTCGCAACAAGTTAGGTCACTAACTGTCCATATGCGATCTCGGGTGCTTGTCGATTATGCTGTGCTTCTTGAAGGTAAATATGTGAACTGATTGTGATTCCCGCTTGCTCATTTGCTCGATTCGTCGCCCAACCTCCGAGGAAACGAAAACTAAAAAAGCAAGTTTGAGACGTTGTCTAAGTGTTTCAAATATTCTAGTATAATTGTTTATGAGAAATATAATGCTACGGGATAAACTTAGGTTTTAGTGTTCAAATTGAATTGCGGTCTGTTTTCTGGGAAATTTAAGAGAATCTTTGAAGAAAAGTTTATTCTTTCTAATAAATGTAATATCTATTAGTGAAATAATTGTATTAAAGGGATATTTGTTTTCATTAAGTAGTGTTACAAGGTTTTTCGTGTGTGAACTAAATCTACAAGGCTGCTGCAATAACGGACAACCCTCGGGGACACTGGATTATGAAAAAAAATTGTGGGGGACCGATACTTCAATGTCGCGTGGAGGGCAATGCTGCAGTTTTCCCAGGGGGGGGAAGTAATTCAGGATTTCTGGGGAATGTATTATCGCCCCCCCCGCTCTTTACATTCTACCGTAAAACTCTTGATGGCGCGTTCGATCTGCATCGCGCGATCCTCCAGCGGTGGGGGAGGGCGGGGGCTTCTTCAGTAGGGGGCGATAATGCAGTTTTCCCCAATCCTGATAAAATCACCTTCAACACACCTATGCTTGATAGATTATGGCATGCAACTAACGTATTTTTTGGCATTATAATAGTTTCGATTTTAGCGTCGATTTTATTGCATAGCTCAGTGAAGAGTTTCTCAGATTTTTTTCTATCAACGAGAATGTGCACAAAAGTGTATTTCGTGGATGAAGTGCTAAAACGCGCAATGAAAAAGAGCTTTTTGAAAAGTGCAACCACCAAATATGTTTTTGTGTACATTCTACCGTAAACCTCTTGATGGCGCCTTCTAAAACGTGCTCCTTTCGTATATTTAACGAAACTTTTGGATTAATTTCGCCCACCTTCTCGCCGACCTTTTCGACATCTCCCCTAAATGAAAAATTATAGCAGAGATTAATAGTAATTAATAAAAGGAAAACCCCGAACAAAATACTATTACTAGCTCCTGTAAACACTGCAAGAGTAGCCCACTCGTGTGGCACGCACTAGAGGCTGGTGGGGTACTTTCACAGTATTTACGGCATATACACCTGCTAAACGAATTGAAAAGAATGAAATTTGTGGCAAAAAGTTTCGTTAAATATACGAAAGGAGCACGTTTTAGAATGTGCCATCAAGAGATTTACGGTAGAATGTACACAAAAACATATTTGGTGGTTGCTCTTTTCAGCACTTCATCCACGAAATACACTTTTGTGCACATTCTCGTTGATAGAAAAAAATCTGAGAAACTCTTCACTGAGCTATGGTTAATTTTTTTTCCATTTTAAGGTACCTTCATTCGTGATCTCGTTCGATCTCGTTCGGATGACCCTCGCTATTTTTGGGATCTCAAAGCCACTGAAACATTGCTCGTATGTGGGGTTCGATTGGTAGAGGAGACAAAGATCATCTTGATCGATTTTGACGCATCATATCCATAGGTATATTTGTATTTTTGCTCTTTTCCTAGGACTTATTGTGATTTTCTGAAGAATTCTGTCGGTTTTTCCATTCTTCTGAACTTTCATTGCTTGTGATTTCCTTTCAATGATTACCCACATTTTAGACACTTCTATGCCATACTCTTGTTTTTGTGAACCTTTTTTTCCATTAACCTGCTGTTAGTGATTCGCCTTTTTGAATCTTTCAAAATCGTCAAGTGCAAACCATCTTTCAAAATTACTATTCCTTCGAATTAGTTGGTTGGTTGTTGTCAACGTTCGATTATTTTTAGTCCATATCGAGTCCTGTGATTCTTTATTTGCTCGATTTTTCAAGATTGAAGAATCTATACCTCACCGATTTAAATCTAACTGAACTGCACAAGTAACTGATATAGCAAAAAAGCAACTCAAATCAACTGCCAACACGGGTGAATCTAAATTGGTGAATCTAAATCAACACGGGTGAATCTAAATTGGTTTCATTTAGTTTTAAGAGTGATTTGGATGAAATTGGAGGGTTAGAAGAGAAGTTTTTAAGGTTTTTAAAGAAGCCTAGAGCTGACTTTTCAATAATCTTCAAAAGAATAGCTTTGTTTTCATTTTCTTGATCATTTTACTCTTTAACTTCATGTGCCCGTGATTTAGCCAGGCGCGCTATTCATTTAGTCCTATTCAATGGCCAACCCCACATCGATAGATTCTGATAAGGGCTTTTCGAGATTTCGAGCAATTTAGGGTGCACTAGGGAATCTGAAATCTGAAAACCGACCTTCCAACGAGAAATGTGATGAAAAATTGGGGGAAAAAATTGACAGAATCAAGAAAAAGGCTTCAGTAATCGAGTGGCAGAGTCAATTCTCGAATGTAATTTGCAAATTTTCTGATAAACCGTAGTTTCGTTGCCAGATTTCATTCGTTTAACTCAATTTTGAGCCCAATTGATCAAATTTTGTTATACCTTCATCAAAAGTGACTAAAATTCAGCCGATCAAATGGAAATCGGCGGTCAGATTCCAGTAGTTTTTGTTTCAAGAAGAATTTGAAAAAAGCTAGAGTGGCTCCCATAATCTAAACTGCTTTCAAAACGTTCCCCAAAATCGTTTTACAACTCTCCAATAGCCTGTTCAAGTCTATATTGTGGAATTTTCTAAGCTTTTTAAGCTAAAACCGAGAACGGGTACAGGTACAGACAGCTAGACTAAGCCATAAACTATTCGGTTTGCCAATAATCAATTTCAAAAAGAAATCTTTATTCAATAAAGCGACCTTGAATCAATACAAAATAGTTTTCATCTTTTTCAAGAAACTTTTCCCTATTTTACCTACCGTAAATACTGTAATAGTACTCCACCCCTCTCGTACAGTCGCGTAGTCGCAAAAGTTTTTTAGTATTTCATTTTTTTCAAAGCGCCCGTACTTTCAAAAAATGCGTCTTTGGTATCAGCTGAAATAGCTGAAATTCAGGGTTATTTTTTGATACCTAAGCGCGCACTGTAGCATGAATACACAAGAACACCAGTGTCGAGAAAAACTCGTTCAAAGCTAGACTACGCAACACTCCACACCGTCATTATGGGGGTGGGGTACTATTACAGTATTTACGTTAGTAGGAGGCGAATTCTTCTCGCGTCAACCTTTGAATCTTTGATTTCGTTGATTTCTTAATCTTTGAATGAAAAATCTTTGATTTTGAGTCTACTAAAGTCTTTACTAATTCTGTACCCAGTTTTGGTATCTTTTTCATCTTCAAAGTGCTCTAGAGCATTTTCCATTGATAAAAATGAATGGTATATTTCTTTTGCCTGCTTTTGTTTGATCGTTCTCATAATAACGATCGTTTCCCTTTTTGTCAAGAGTTTCCTTTTCTGATTGTTTCCAGAGCTGTTTGTGATGCTTTAAACTGTGTAAGTCGTGTTCGTTACACCGCTTACAAATGCACGTTAAATTGCTTAAGCTTGCTCACAATAAAAAGAAACAGGTTAAGCTTGCAAGGGAAGTGCACTCACTTAAGGCGAGCTTTTGCATTGGGACCCAGTTGATGCGATGCAGAATTTTATGCTGACCTGCTTTTCGTTGTTGCAAAATGGCTCCTTATCAAAAGTTACGAACGTTTTAGGAGTGGCGGCGGAGTGGGTAGAGGGCTTATGTCCGAAACGATTTCTTCATTTGTTGCTTGAGTCCAATTCCATCCTTTGTTTTTCTTTTTATTTCATCTTCCAACACTTAAATTCGTTTCAGTTTTCGATTTCAGAAAGTATCACAATCACTTTTTGTATTGAGATTTATGAACAAAATTGAACATTTACAGCTCCAACGTTGATGATTAAAAGTGAAGTAACAAACAAAACAGTTGTTACCATCCACAAAAAGGACAGAATAAACGATCTTTGCTGGCGATTTCTTTTAGGAAAGCAGAAAGAAAGAGCGTCTATTCTAGAATTCTTGTTTATAGACTTCTATATAAAAATTCAGTATGATACCTTGTGAAATAAAAAAATAAAACAAAGTTGTGTTGAAAGACCAAAATAAAAAGGATTCGTTGGAGCTCGATCCAAAAGTTCACCTTAAGTGGGTGCACTTCCCTTGTTAGCGTTTCGTGTAACAAAATGGTAAGCAAGATTCTGTTAATTGAAACGTGTGGACAATCAAAAGTTAAAAAGCACAGCGTACATTTGAACACTGTAGGCCTAACACCAGAGCTTTTGTCGGAGTGAAAATGTGTAGATGTAGACTTGGCTATTGATCTTCTTTTTATAATAACCACTATTGATAATGGTCTTTATCGTATTCATTGAGTCGTATTCATTGACGGAGTTTGGCAGTTGATTTGAGTTGATGCTTGCCAATATCAGTTGCTTGTGCAGTTTGGTTAGATTTAAATCGGTGAGTTATAGATTTTTCAATCTTGAAAAATCGAGCAAGAAAGAATCACAGGACTCGATATGGACTAAAAATAATCGAACGTTCACAACAACCAACCAACTAATCCGAAGGAATACTAATTTTGAAAGATGGTTTTCACTTGTGGATTTTGAAAGATTCAAAAAGGTCAATGACTAACACCAGGTTTATGGAAAAAAAGGTTCACAAAAACAAGACTATGTGGCAAATAAAATGTGGGTAATCATTGAAAGGAAATCACAAGCAATGAAAGTTCAGAAGAATGGAAAAACCGACAGAATTCTTCGGAAAATCATAATAAGTCCTAGGAAACGAGCAAAAATACAAATATACCTATGGATATGATGCGTCAAAATCGATCAAGATGATCTTTCTCTCCTCTACCGATTGGGCTCCACATACGAGCAATGTTTCAGTGGCTTTGAGATTCCAAAAATAACCGCGAGGGTCATCCGAACGAGATCGAACGAGCTCCCGAACGAAGGTACCTTAGAATGAAAAAAATTCACAACAAGACAATAAACTTTGCCATAGATTTAAGCTTGAATAGTTGACGAAACAAGTCGTCTAGTGAAAAAATTCTACTTAAATGCCAGCTTGCGGTTTGGATCTTATTGCCCATAGTCTTATAGGTAATTTAAAACAGCATACCTTTGTCCACATCCCACAGCTTCACCGAGCCATCTTCCGAACCTGTCACCAAAAGTCCGGAGTCGAGCCATTGCATTGAAGAGATGAAGTTCAACGTTTGGCCGGGTAAGTGGTGAAGGCACGAGCCACCCTCACGAATGTCCCAAACCTAAAGAAATGGAAGTAGTTTTCATAGGATTGATTAAACATACCTTAACTTCCGAGGCGTAATAGCAGGCCAAAATGTTTCCGCGAAGCTGCATCCCAAACCAACCACTGAACCGTGACCCTTCATGAAAGACAAAATGTGCGATGCATGCTGAAAGAAACAAATATAGATGACATTGTAACAGAATAGTGAACAAGTAAAAACGCACTTCCTCTTTGCACATCCCAGACGCGAATAGTTCCGTCACGACTGCCCGACACGACAAGATCGCGCTCTGGCTCAAACTAAAACAGAATCCCGATCAAAGCCAAAATTTGACAACTCAACTCACCAAAAGTGAGTCGACTAACCCTGTGTGGCCCGTCAGCGTGTGCAAATACTCTTTCGTGTGTATAAACCAAACCTAATAGAATATTATAAATTGCACTAGTAACTGTACAAACGTTTACGGTAAATCCATGGCCAACAAATACAACCCGTTTTCCATCAAATTGCACAAAATACACCTGAAATTTAGCTTTGTTTAAGCCCAAACTTTAATACACATACCCACACTTCGACAGCCAAAATGTGAAGGCATTTCCCGTCGACAATGTCCCAGACTCGGAGTGTTTGATCCGCGGGATCCAGAAACAAGACTAAAACATTATGATCTTAGCTCAACAGAAAATTCCGATCGCTCACGTTGTCCCATGTAGACTCATGCATGAAATCCTATCCGTATGTCCCTGCAAAACATGAAGCTGTGCACCGGTTTGACCACACCAAACGCGCACCGTTCCATCAACCCCGCCACTGAAATATTACAATAGACTTTGTTGTCATAAGAATTTTTGTTTGAATCTTTTTAGCTTCATTGACAACTCTCATGAATTGCACTAGCTATAATCTATTAACCAACCAGACAATGTATTTGCCATCTTCGCTCACTTGATACGAGATGAGGGGACCATTATCACCAGTTAGAGCAAAAGCCGGCTAAATTCGGACGTACAATAACAATTAATCAAAATAAACCTGAGCATCTTCAACATTCCAGACCCGCAACGTACCATCATTAGAACCAGTAATCACACGATCATGGTAAATTTGTAGACAATAGACACCCTAAAAACCATTTTTTCGGTCAAACCATTTATTCAAACCCCTAGAAGAGTGCTTGATTGAATCGCTCGGGATCGCCAATTCGAAATGATTCGCTTCTTTCGCAAGTACAGCGACTTCCATGGCGAACGCTCATAACATCTAGAAAAAACTTCATTTCGCAACAAGTTAGGTCACTAACTGTCCATATGCGATCTCGCGTCCTTGTCGATTCTGCTGTGCTTCTTGAAGGTCCATATGTGAACAGATTGTTATTCCCGCCTGCTCATTTGCCCGATTCGTCGCCCAACGTCCGAGAAAACGAAAGCTAAAAAAACAAGTTTCAGACGAGTCTTTTTACAATCGATTTCCCAAATCTGAACCAGTTCATCTAAAAAAACATTCTCATATGTTTTCCCTCGCTTTATATCTTTGTTTGCTTTGGAATTAATAACATTATTGTCCTATATTTTACAATTCTTAAAATCTAGTTTAATATAAATCTATCAGATATGTATTTTTAAGTGTTATATTATCGGCTCAAAACTGTAACAAACCTTGGCGCATCAAATTCCACATATCCGTTCTCGAAACATTTCTGTCGCCACGTCTGATCATCTTCACAAATCCGTTGCCACGTCCGCGAAACGCCAGCACAAGTCATCAAATCGCGCGGTGTCAACTGGGCGATGATGCGATAAGCAATCTAAAACTAAACAATTACCCCCACAGCCTTTAACAGGCCTCTTTTGGCAATTGTGCCAAGAAGTCCTTTAGGGAGAATGGTTGGTTCGGTTCCACTTGGATATTGGATAAACCACTTGGATTAGCTTGGATTTGAGTCTTGCTGCTCTCCGCTCTGTTCAACATCTCCCCTAAATGAAAAATTATAGCAGAGATAACATCGTAATTAATATAAGGAAAAGTCCCCGAACAAAATACTATTACTAGCTCCTGTGAATACTGTAATAGTAGCACCCGTGTGGCACGCACTAGAGGCTGGTGGGGTATTATCACAGTATTTGCGGTATATACACCTGCCGAACGAATTGAAAAGAATGAAATTTATGGCAAAAAGTCTCGTTAAATATACGAAAGGAGCACGTATTAGAACGCGCCATCAAGAGGTTTACGGTAAAATGTACACAAAACCATATTTGATGGTTCCACTTTTCAAAAAGCTCTTTTTCATTGCGCTTTTCGCCCTTCACGCACTTCACCCACAAAATACCCTTTTGTGGACATTCTCGTTGATAGAAAAAAATCTGAGAAACTCTTCATTGAGCTGTGCAATAAAATCGACGCTTACGATTTTAAAACTATTATAATGCCAAAAAAATACGTTAGTTGCATGCCATAATCTATCAAGCATAGGTGTGTTGAAGGTGAATTTATCAGGATTGGGGAAAACTGCATTATCGCCCCCTACTGAAGAAGCCCCCGCCCTCCGCCCACCGCTGGAGGATCGCACCATGCAGATCGAACGCGCCATCAAGAGTTTTACGGTAGAATGTAAACAGCGGTGGGGGGCGATAATACATTCCTCGGAAATCCTGAATCTTAAAAAAATTACGACCACAGCATTTTGGCCAGCTTCGGTCCTACGTTTAACAGGCCATCAACATACATCGGTTCCGCTTTGAGAAACCTTCATTCTACATTCCTTGCCACAAAGTAACTCTTATAATTTGGATCATATCGCAATTACACAAAAAAATCCTCACCGTGTTCAATTGGATACTTGAGCGTCAAGATGCCTCGCTTGGATTGAGCCTCATCACCGACGTAGGAATCCTTTTGCCCCATTCCAACCATAACCCCTTGATGACGAGGGCGACCGACGATTGACGGGAAGACGGCGCGCGGAGCATCATCACCAGCAAAGTCAGCCTAAAAAGAATTAGTACCGTAACTTGAACAAAACTTAAACTAAAACCAGCTTAAGTAGTTTGACGTTAAAAAAACAGTTGCCTAGGCAATGTATAACAAGTTAAACAACAGTTCGCCCTGCTCAGGGACTACGAGATCCAAAAGTTCACCTTGCACATTCCGGATCCGTTGTCAACCACGAGTGCAGCCACTTCTTCGTCGCACATTTAGTCCAAAGCGAGTTGATCAGTTGCAATATCTGAAAGAATACAAACTAGGGTGCTTCGAGGTGAGGACAAATACAGAAATGAAAAGTGCTTCAACTAAGGCAGAAGGGGTAAAGAGAAACAATTAACGTAAGAACTGAGATTTGGAGGATCCAATGAATCAGGATTGACTTAAGCGTCGGAAAATTGAATTCTAGATAAAATATAACTCCCGAACTCCTACAAAGCCTGCTACAAAGCTGTGGGCTTCAGCTTCAACTATAAAGCTACAAAAGCTTTGGCACTTTGGTGGTTAAGAGGGGCCACTTTTATCCTGGCTTAGTTACATCTAATCTTTTTGAGTGGTTGTATCGATACCTTTTAGCTATTCTCGGGTAATCAAAAATGTTTAATAGATTGGTGACTATTTTAGGAAGCTTCTGGCCATTCTAGCCTAATCTCATGTACTTTAACCATCACACACTACCTGAAAGCCTGAAACTCAAATAAAAGCCACAATATAACCATGTCGTAAATGCTCTAAAAGTAGAAAACCTATTTGATTACCCTAGAACAGGTATATAAAAGCTAGCAATACAACTACTCAAAAAAACCTTAGATCCAACGAAATCAGGATAAAAGTGGCCCCTCTCAACCACCAAAGCAACAAGGCTTCAACTAGCGCAACGATTGCAATTCCATTAGCAACAGGATCGATTTCAGCTGCAAATACATAAAATTTGTTTCTAGAGCTATAAACTAGGCCCGCGTGGGCAATAAGGGAATAAGAATTGTAAGAATTGCATTTCCATTAGCTTCAAAATCAAGTTTGGGGCAAGAAATATCGCAAAGTGGCAAAGCAATCAAGAAAGCGCACCAATCCGCAGAAATCTTTTCGGCGAAATGATCGAAATATCTTTTCCCATCGATATCATCGACAAATTAACGACTTTTCAATTGCTTAGCTGAATATTTTTGATTCATAGTTAAAATCTTCAAAAAAATGGCGAAATATTGATAGGCATCTTTTAAACAAAAAGATATTCAGTCATCTTGTCAAATTGTATTTAAGAGGAATTTTTAAAATTAAGCTCGACGAAATTTGGACAAGAAAACTCACCAAAAAGTTGAGGGTACATCTCACAAATTCAATTCGAACAAGTTCAACTCGAATAAATTCAATTCAAATGGGTTTAGCTCGAATAATTTTGCAAAGGCTCAACAGAATGAAGCTATAAAGTGCATCTTATGCGCAAGAAACAACCACAAATCAAAGGATTGCCGTGAAATGTCAAGGATGGATCTTCAACGAATTATGGAATGCGTGAGGACAGCAAGAGTGTGCACCATATGCTTTGGAGGAGGGCACCTCGCAAATGCGTGCCGACACGAGAGGTGCCAGAAATGGCAAGGACAACAACACACAAACACGTGCAGGAAATCAGGTCCCAATTTTGGTAATAGAGTTAATACATTTAGGCAAAACACAGCTAGTAATTTAAATCATCTACAAGTTCAAGAAAATTCGAATAACGGATATGTTCAACCCGCCGCAACAGGATATTTTGCTCAAAATTCACAAATGGACTGCGGTTCGGAGTTTTTCCGTGCCACCAAAGAGGAGCCAGCAAGTCATCCAGCCAAAAATTCAACGGCAAACAGCAATCAATAAGGCTTCGGAAAGTTGAACTCAAATTCCAAGTTTACTATGTTATAACAGTTCCAAAATTAATCGGAAAGTTAGAGTCACAAGCATGTTGCAAGTTGTTGCCAAGAATGAGGATTATCAAATCAATGAGAGTGCAAACATTTTATTGGACACAGGTTCAACGGATAGTTTTATTACAAAAGATTCGTACAAAAATTAAAGTTCAAAAGTTTCCACAACCAAAGATTTAACGATCAGAACAGCCATTGGAGCGGAAAGCTCAATCAACACGAAATGTTACAAAGTTTTATTGCAAAACAAGAAAGCTTTCGACAGAAACCTGCCTGATGCCTTCATTCTCGACGTGTTGGAGTTGCCCAATCTTCCACCAGCAAACATGGCCATCGGAGACGTGCCTGAAGTTGAAGAAGTTAATATTGACATCATAATTGGACAGAATGCTTGTTGGAAATTTTTTAAGCCTGAGGCCCTGGACGAAACATCCGAACGGTTTGGTGCAAATTCAAACGAAATTGGGAACAGTTAAGTGCGATGAACTACAGTCTTTTAGTATCGATCTATCCCAAGAACACGAATTGCACGCAGCGTTTCATGCTTTATATGGGCATTATTGGGCTGCCAACGTTGGTAGATGCCGAGATTTTGCAAACTTTCGAATCACTGATGCCGCTGTGTAGATCTTGTATCGCCGCTGAGAAAGCCAATTCACAAGATCAGAGATTGGCAGACAAAGAAAATAAACAAGGCCAGGCCTTGAAGCGAGAAGCTGGCGTCCAGGAATCTGACCGATCCTTTTTCACGAATTTCTCTACCGTAATTCGACAACGAGGGTCTAGAACAAACAACGAGGGGATAATTTTTATTCTAGAGACTCTCACGAACATTTTGATACAAAAATCATCAAATTTGCTCAACTCTACAAAAAGTTATAACATCTTTAAAGAAATTTTGCAAAATACACTAAAAACATAAGGGGAAACCGTGGCCGAGTGGTCTAAGGCGCGCGACGTGAATCCCGCGCAAAAGTATGGGGTTGTTGGTTCGACTCTCCCGCACACTTGAGCTATTATTTTGCATATTCCTTAATTTTTTTGAGTGAATACGATACATAGCTACATTGTTCTTTTGAGCAAAAAAAATTGTGCAATAGAGAATTTTTTAAATTTTCTCATTTCTTTTTTAAAAATGTTATAACTTTTTGTAGAGTTGAGCAAATTTGATGATTTTTGTATCAAAATGTTCGTGAGAGTCTCTAGAATAAAAATTATCCCCTCGTTTTTTGTTCTAGACACTGATTGTCGAGCTACGAGGCCCAAACTGCAGGGTACCACAAAATTTCCCATACAAAATGACCAAAAAACCGCTAAAACTCAATTTAAAAAATTTCTTTCAAAGGGATTTGAAAAATTCCTTCAGATTCGGAATCAGCACAATTTTGTGCATCTAAAAAAGGTACTCCCAGAAAAATCCGATAGAAAACGCCATTTCGCGCCGATGTGCACCGCCTTAATTGAGTGCACTTCCCTTGCGAGTTTACCCTGTTTCTTCGTATTTGTGAGCAAGTTTAAGCGATTTATCGTGCATGTGTAAGTTGTGTAACAAACACCACCTACACAGTTTAAAAATGGACTTTATTCATAATACGTTAAAAAATATTGAATGTTTACAGCAACCAACGAAGCATGCGGAATTCAAAGCAAAAACATAAGGGTTAGGTCCTTTATGCCATTTGAGAAAGCGAAAAAGGAATTTGTTTTGCGTAAAGTTAAAGGAAGGGCTTTCAAAGTTTTTCTGTACGAAGTTTAAAAGACCCTGACCTTGCATTTGACAGAAATTTGGACCTAGTAAGATGAAAAGGGCCTCTCCTGAAAACTGAACGCTGTTCGAAGGAAAGGAAAATAAAATGGGGCCAGATTGGTCGGAATCGCCAGCTGCCCAAAGTTCGTATTGATTCGCAGCGATTATTAGGACATTCTCATCGTTTTGAAATTGCTTCGGGATGCGAATGATGGCCCTGGAAATTGTCGAAAATGATCAATTGCAGAATCAAGTATGTTTTGGGAGTCACGAGTGATTGTTGAATTCTGTGATCTGTCGACGATCAACGATTTGAAAGATTTGATATAATTTGACGATCGATCTTTGTCCAGCTCCTAAGAATTACGATCTGTTGGACTTAATCTGTGATTTTCTCTTTCCCTTCCCCTTTCCCTTCTCCCCTTTTTTCTTCAGACAATGATGCCCCTTTGTGATGACACGAGAATCGGTGATGAGCAAGAGAATTTGCGACTTGCACTCATAAATTTTCACTTCCAATCACTCATAAATTCTATCGACTTGTTTACGCCGAAAAAACAATTTCAACTATCGACCGAAAAAACAATTTCAACCCTCAACTTCTGCCCATTTTGCCCATTTCCTCTTTGTTTTCTTGACTATTCCCCGATTTTCAAGGGCAATATTTCATTTCGAAGCAGTTTCGAGTTGAGAAATGACCTTTTCTGTTTCTTTTTCCTATCCAAATCAAGATCAACCCCGAGAAACGTTTTTGCTTAAAGAATTTTCCAAACTTTTTTTAAACTTTTTACGAATTATGGATGTCATTGATTGCGAAAATGTTAAGAAATAGATATTTTTTTGCGATTTTTAAAAATTCGAGTTCTGGTAGGGAAGAGTCTGAACGATTTCCTGCGCTATGGATTCAAAAAGGCATCCTAAAGCTTTTGCAGACTTGTTTTGGAACGCACTTGAGCTGAAAGAGTGATTATTTTGATTTTGCGGCAGTTTTTTTTGGAGTCCCGGCGATGCCTGTTGTAGATCTACAACAGATAACCACCCCACCCCTCCCCTGCCTCCATTTGCTTCAAAAATGATAAACCATTCCCCTTTCGCCCATCTAGTTCATCAAATTATGCCCCTTTTCGCTTTTTCGCCGCCAATTTCACCCCGCACAATTGATGTGTTTATTATGCAGCGCCCCTTGCATTTCCGTTGTCAATTTCTGCCTGAAAATTCAGAAATTTGTCACCCACCGTTAGCCATTCGTCTAGTTGGATGTCACAGTAGCTTTAAATTTAATTATTTACTTTTAGAGGCGATTTTTGAAATTTTAGCTTATCAGGGTTGAAAGATAGCAAGAGATTTTCTTGAAAATTTTTGATTCTACCGAGAATTTACACACTTTTTAGTGGATTCTGGAGCGCATTGGATAATCAGCGCTTAAAAAGAGCATTAAAAAGAACTTTAAAAAGAACTTTGAAAAGAATCTTATTTTGTTGATTGATCGAGAGCGCCGGCGACAGTTGTTTTGATTGAACGATCTCGAGAAGGGCCGATCCGAGATTCGATCGCG